ATGTATGTGAGTGTGTGTATGAGAGAAAGAAGACAAATGTGGCAAAAAATTAAAACTGGAGAATTAAGGTGAATCTAGAACTATTCTACAGATTTTAAAATTTTCAAAATAAAATTTTGAAGGAAAAAAATATACAAACATGCACTTCTCTTGTACTGCCTTTTTAGTACAATATTTACAGTGGAACTAGATATAGCCCAAATGAAGATACAGATTTGCTAGCTCCACCTTCATGTCTGAGATCAATTGCCTGACTTAGGAACAGGCCTGCCATGGCCAGAGAGAGTCTTTGCTGGACCAGTAGAAAACATAGTGTCTTGGTCATTCAGTGCTGCTATAACAGAAATACCACAAGTGGATGGTTTTAAGGAAGTTTATTTCCTCACAGTCAAAGTAGGCTAAAAGTCCAAATTCAGGCTGTCAGCTCCAGGGGAAGGCCTTCTCTCTCTCAGCCTTCTCATCAGTGTTCCCCCAGACTAGGAGCTTCTCCGCACAGGGACCCCAGTCCAAAGGACACGCTCTGCTCCTGCTTTCTTGGTGGTATGAAGTCCCCCTGTCTCACTGCTCACTTCTGTCTTTTATATCTCAAGAGATTGCCTCAGGACACAATCCAGTCTTGTAGATCAGGTCCTGCCTTACTAACACAACTGCCACCCATCCTCCCTCATTAACATCATAGAGGCAGGTTTACAACATACAGGAAAATCACACAGTACCAGGAATCATGGCCCAGCCAAACTGATACACACATTTTTTGGGGGACATAATTCAAACCATGACATTCCACCGTTTGGCCCCCAAAAAATTACATCCTTGCAACATGGAAAACATATTCACCCCATCATATCATAGCAAAAGTCTTTATCTTTCTGTTATAGAAAATGTCTTGCATAAAATAAAAAGCTATGAGACATGCAAAGTAGCCGGAAAATATGACTCAATCAAAAGGAAAAGAACCCCCAGTGGTGCAAGAGTTAAGCACTCGACTACTAACCAAAGGTCAGTAATTCAAACCCACCAAGCAGCACTGCAGGAGAAGACCTGGCAATCTGCTTCTGTGAAGATTATAGCCAAGAAAACCCTATGGGGCAGTTCTACTCCGTCACATGGGGTCTCTATGAGTCAGGATTGACTCAACAGCATCCAACAACAAAAACAATCAAAAGGAAAAATAATCAATAGAATTAGATTCACAGGTAACTTAGATATTAGAATTAGCAGGCAAAGACTTTAAGATAATAATAATTAAGCTAAAGAACTTATGGAAAAATATGGACATAATGGATAAAATTTCAACAGAGAAATGAAACTCTAGGAGAAAAACAAAATGAAATTCTAGGATTGAAAAACATAATATGTGAAATAAAAATTCACTAGGTGGGCTTAACAGTAGACTGAGTACATCATTGAACACAAGAAGAGAAAATACCAAACTGAGGCACAGAAAGAAAAAAAATCTTTTGAAGAAAAAATTAAAAAGGAACAGAATGTCAAAGACCTGTGGGACAACATCAAAAAATCAAACATACATGTAATTAGAATCTCCAAAGGAAAGATGAGAGAGAATTGTAAAGATAAAATATTTGAAGAGATAGTAGCTAAAAATTTTCCAAAACTAATTAAAGAAAAAAATCACCCTATGGAATCTATTGAATAAAGATGCACAGCAAACCCAAACAGGATAATATAAAGAAAACCACATGTAGGTACATCACAACTAAGCCAATAAAAATTAAATATAAAAAGAAAATCTTAAAACACCAGAGAAAAGACATGTTATATTCAGGGAAACAGCAATAACAGTGATGGCTGACATCATCAAACAATGGAAGCCAGAAGACAACAGAATGACATCTTCAAAATGCTGAAAGAGAAAACTATCAACCTAGAATTCTTACCTAGCAAAAATATACTTCAAAAAATGAAGGCAAAGCAACAACAATTTTCGACGGACAAAAGATAATGTGTTGTCAGCAGATCTTCACTACGATGCTAAATAAAGTTCTTAAGACTAAAGAGAAATTATACAGATGGAGACTCACACCTGCAGGAAGAAATGAATAGCACCAGTGAAACCCAAACCAAAACTTCCAGTTGTTAAAGGGTGACCAGGAGTTAATCAGGCACAGGTTAGGAAACAGAGGGCAAAATGTGCAAAGTATAAGAAACAGCATGTGCAAAGGCCCTGAGGAAAGTAAAGAACGGTGCTTTCTAGGAACCGGAAGCAGAAATGCCAGTTGGCTGGAGCAAAGAAAGCAGCCTGGAGAGTGGTGTCTGACACCATTAAAAATCCAGCAGGGGCCAAGTCATGAAGGACATTGCAGACTAGTTTTCTACTACCTGGTAGGCTAATTTTCAAATCTACACCAGCAGATTCATTCCTACCTAAGACTTGGCACATTCTCTCTTTTGGGTACTCAAAGCAGCACCAACCTTTGAGTTTCCTGGAGGCTTCAGAGTTAATGTAAGTTTAATGTAAGTTCACAAATCAATAGGCATGCCATTCAATATAAATAATACACCTTGCACATATTTATTATTTTCTAAATTAATGTACAAAATGTAATCATGCCACTCTTCTGCTTATAACCCTCTACTGACCTTTCTTCTGCACTAATTAAACTTTACAATGACCTACAAGGACTACAGAATCTGTTCCTTCCCCTAAAGCTACACGTAATAACATAAGTACAATTATCTACTTAACTCTATTCCAATACAACAGCAATTCTAATTCTAATCACATTTAGTTTATCTTTTGTTAAGAAGATGATGTCTAAGCATGTTTAAATATACCAAGTAACTGAACGGTACACAAAAAATCCATCAGCTTGCTAGGGTTGTTAATTCCTGATCTTACCACTTTCTTTTAATTTTGATATTCATGTAGCATGATATCATTCCTTACAAAGTCTTTTTAATCTTTAATAATGGAATTGAGACTATTTAGTTGATTTTTCAGTTGGAGCCCTGGTGCCGCAGGGGTTAAGCACTCGGCTGCTAACTGAAAGGTCAGCAGTTTGAACTCACCAGCTGCTCCATGGGAGAAAGATGTAGCAGTCTGCTTCCGTAAAGATTACATCCTTGGAAACCCTATAGGGCAGTTCTACTCTGTCCTATAGGGTCATCATGAGTTAGAATTGACTCGACCTCAAAGGGTTTGGTTTGGGGTACACACAGAAAGCAGCCCTGGTGGAGCAGTGATTAAGCACTCAGCTACTTAACCAATCTCTAACCTTAAAGATTATAGCCTACAATACCCTATAGGGTGGTTCTACTCCGTAACATGGGGTCATTATGAGTTGAAATCAGCTCCACAGCACCTAACAACAACAACAGTATACGCTGAGGGCGCCACAAAAGACCTTTCTGTTTAACAGACAACAGTCTTTATACTGTAACTTGCCTTCATATTTTTCAATGTTCCCTCTTCCTCCAACACCTCACAGTTAACAGTTAACACAGCTATTTACCATTTCTTAGGTCATCCTCTCAGAATCTGTGCTTCAAAATGTTTTATGGTCCACACTATCACAATGCACAGCATCCACAGTCATGAAAAGCCAAATAATTCTTTTTTTTCTTTCTGATCAGAAATCAAACCACACCAATTAACTGATGTCATGCTGCAATCATCTGTCGTGTGCTCTAAATCTATAAGGCCACTCCAGCTTTAAATTCCGAAGTTCTAAATACCAAGTATATACTAGCTCAATATCCATTAGTAACCCATTGATTAAAACCTTGACTCTGCAGTGAAGTTTTGGTACGACTGCTCTTACAGCTTTGTGACATGTGCATATTCAAATACTGCAGACAACGTATAAACACATAAAAGGATTAAGTTATGTCACACAAAGCAAACTGACCTTTCTTTATTTTCCCCTTCATATAAAATTCACCATGAAAGAAATCTGGACAGAGATATATTACCAGAAGTTCATTTACAACTATGATTAATTTAGTGGAACGAATTCATTGACACCTTAAAGATTTTAATCTGAACTAATTAGTAATAATAATACAAGCTAACACTTACATAGCAGTTGCTAGTACCAAACACTGTTCCAGCCATTTTTGCACATATATACTTACTTAATCTCTGCAATAATCCTGAAATGAGTAACGTTATCATGACCATTTACAAAGGCGAAACTGCAGCTTGGAGAGATGAAATGACCTGCCCAAGCCACACAGGCACCAAGTGGCAGAGCCAGGGTTTGAATCAGATTGATGTCCTGGGTGGCACAAACAGTTTGCTCTAGTCTACTAACCTAAAGGTTGGCAGTTCAAATCCACCCAGCAATATCACAGAAGAGGAGGCCTGACAATGTGCTTCCATTAAGATTACTGCCAACAAATTCCTATGGAGCAGTTCTACTCTGTTAACAGATGAGGTCACCAGGAATTAGAATCAACTCAATGGAAACAGGATTTTTTTTTTTTAAAGATTGGCAGGAGAGTCTATGCTCTTTACAATGGTGTTCTTTTTAGAAGGTCTTTGGATACCTGAAAATTTGTAGACATGATAAAATATTCTATCAAGGATATTTAAAAGTATAGCAAAATTTAATATAAATACATTAAAATAGAAACATACTGAGTAGCTCCTACAATAAAAAGTTTTCCCCATGCAAGGAAGTTAACTGTATTTATGGCTTGCTTATTTCTATTATATCTGAAATGTTAGCTGTTATAGTTTTAAAGTTATATAAAGAATTGGCACAGATCCGTTATTTCTTCAAATCACTAAGAGTTAGATCCTGTAAAAGATTAAATGGCCATGAATATTTATCTTAAAATAAATGCTAGTGTTTCAAACTTAAAATAAGTTCAAACATTTAAAAAGTGCTATTAGAGATTAAATTTAAAGAAATCTGTATTTCTCTACGTAAAATCTCTTAAAATTTTTGAAACTTTTTTGACTATCTAAACAAGAAGCCTATATTTCTAGAAGCAAAATCCCCTAAATATTTTGAAAATATTTTTTGACTACCTACCTCTCCATGATTGAAAAAGAAGCATAACACTGTAACCAGGCCTCCTAATCGGCTGCCACTGGAAGAGAGGGTAAGAAAATGGAATTCAATAACAGAGATTCAGGTCAATGCTAATAAAAACCTTGAAATAACATGATAACCTTCCAGTACTACAAAGGTTTTAGCCACACTAGAACTCTACTATGCTTGTTACAAAACAGTTCATTTTCCCCAAAGTATCTTAGTCAAAATAAGTTTCTTTAAAAAAAATCATTTTCCATCTTCAAAATGTGCAGGCTCGGAGAAGCATACAAACTAACACCAACTAAAAAATCCTTAATCATCATTTTACTGTGCATCATGCAGTCTGTTTTATCTTTATTTTTTCTTTTTCTTTTTTAAGTACTATACTTTTATTTGTGTCCTTCAGAATTTCTCAAACTATTTTCCTTGGGACACAATGATACACATTCAGCAAAAGGGTGGGGAGGAAATGGGGAAAAGGGTTCTACGGTCATAAAGTTGGAATCCAACTCTGTATTATCACCTGCACTTATGTCTTAGTTAACTAGTGCTGCTATAACAGAAATACCACAAGTGGATGGCTTTAACAAACAGAAATTTACTCTCTCACAGTCTAGAAGGCTAGAAGTCCAAATTCAGAGTGCTAGCTCCAGGGGAAGACTTTCTCTCTCTGTTGGCTCTGGGGGAAAGCCCTTGTCATCAATCTTTCCCTGGACTAGGAGCAGGGACCCCGGGTCCAGAGCACGCACTCTGCTCCCAGTACTAGTTTCTTGGTGGTGTTAAGTTTCCATCTCTCTGCTCACTTCTGTCTTTTATATCCCAAAAAAGATTGGTTTAAGACACAACCTAATCTTACAGATTGAGTCCTGCCTCATTAACATAACTGCCTCTAATCCAGCCTCATTAACATCACAGAGGTAGGATTTACAACACAGGAAAATCACATCAGATGACAAAATCACACAATATTAGGAATCATGGACTAGCCAAGTTGGCACATTTTTGGGGGACACAATTCAGTCCGTCACAGCTTGGATGTTCACAAAGCACATTAGCACATTAAAGATTTAATTCAGTATTTCCCGAGCCCCATCTCCAACCTACAAACTTTGTTTGGGAATACCAGTTTACAGATTAAATTTTATCTTTCTTTTTTTCGTTTTCAAAAAACTGTGAAATAGAACACAAATATCGAAGTATGGCACTGAGGCTTATAACTCTAGCTACGAAATCACAATGGTAGAGTGTGACTAACAATTTGAAAAGGTCCCTAAACCCAAACCTGTTGCTGTCGTGTCAATTCTGACTCATAATGATCCTACAGAACGGAGCAGAACTGCCTCCGTAGGGTTTCCAAGGCTGTAAATCTTTACGGAAGCAGACTGTCACATCTTTCTCCCATGGAGAGACTGGCGGGTTTGAACCACTGACCTTTCGGTTAGTAGTCAAAGGGTTTAACCACTGCACTACTAGGGCTCTTGAAAAGGTCCCTAGGTGGCACAAACGGTTTGCACTTGCCTGCTAATCTGAAGGTTGGTGGTTCAACATCAACCAGTGTTACCACAGAAAGAAAGGCCAGATGATCTGCTTCCATTAAGATTAGTCAAGAAAACCCTATAAAGCAGTTCTACTCTGTAACACGTGGAATCCACATAAGTCAGAACCAATTCAATGGCAACAACAACAACTGAAACTTCATCTGCTTTGACAGGAATGAAGTGTGTGCCCTACTCACCCCAAAGCCTGGCCAGAAAGGTCTGGATAGGGAAATAAGACTGTTTTTAGGTTTGTTTCATCACTTGTTCCATCTTTACTCTTGAAGCTTTCTTACTCTTTAGCCCATGTTGCTTTCTCATTATTTTATCCAAATAGCTTCCCTCCGGTATCCATCAAACAAATATTTGTATAACACACAGAGGTCAGAGAGGTAACAAAGAACCAGATGGCGTAGATATTATTGGCCATTATATTTACTCTAGGGGATGTAAGAATGAGAAAAAACAAGGAGATACAGGAGGTAGCAGGAATAATCTACGGGATGCGCTCGCTCCTCCTTTCCCCCCACCCAAGGCAACAGGAAGGGTTGGGATCTCCAGCAAAGGTGGCCAGTCAGCCTTAGCAAAAGAGCAGGACGAAGTTGGCATGTTCAGTGGCAAGTAGTTTATGGAGTTTGTGTTTTCTCTGCTCAGTAGGAGGCACAGCCACTTGATGCTAGATAGGAAACGTGGCACCTAAAAGGTTTGCAGACAGGAGGACATCTTTTATTTAAAGAGAGATGTAACTCACTAGGGGAAAACAGAAGGTTAGTGAGCTGTATTTAAGAGATCAACTGAGGCTGGAGGCCACAAATTTACAGCGGCACTAACTACAGGAAAGGAGATCCGGTGGCGCACTGGTTAAGCACTCAGCTGTTAACCGAAAGGTCGGTGGTTCAAACCCACCAGCCTCTCCATGGGAGAAAGATGTGGCAGTCTGCTTCCATAAAGATTACAGCCTACAAAACCCTACAAGGCAGTTCTACTCTGTCCTATAGGGTCACTATGAGTTGGAGCCGACTTGATGGCAACCGGTTTGGTTTTTGGTTTTTAACTGTAGGATAGGAGTCCCTGGGTGGTGCAAACGGTTAATATGCTCAGCTGCTAACCAAAAGGTAGGAGGTTCATGTCCACCCAGAGGTGCTTCAGAAGAAAGGGCTGGCGAGCTACTTCCCAAAAATCAGCCATTGAAAACCCTATAGAGCACAGTTCTACTCTGACACACATGGGGTCACCATGAGTTGGAACTGACTCCACAGCAATTGGTTTTTGGAACTATAGAACTGTATGGTTGGTTCTTCACCACCAGTTAACAACCAGGACTGGCACAAATGAAGTATAATGAGTCAAAGAAAACTGAGGATACTGGCCAGAAATTGGTTGTGGTGATGTATCACAGAAATAAGAGGGACAGATAAAGGAGCTAGAAAGTAGTGGAGGCCCGTGAGGTGGAGGGGCTGGGGCTGGTTCATGTGGCTAATTTGAGAGAAGTCTGAATGTGCACAGGGGTCCCTCCTCAGGGGCACGACATCTTCCTTGAAAACATATGCAAACAGGTACACTTCAGGCTTCATCGCAAGGGATCACACAATTATTAAGAGAGAGTTAAGATTTCTTATATTTTTAAAAAAGACTGTTCAATATTTTAAACTTTTTCTAAAATAAATAAAATTTGCTTATCTACTGACAATACTCTGAGTTACATTCACTGTGAAATGATGTGACTTTCAATAAATTGAAAAGATTGTCCCCAACATCTATCTCCCCCGTCATAGAGAGTAGGACAGAGATCATTTCTAAAGAGAAAATGTGCAGTCATCAGAACATTTAACATTGTTTTATTTTTTTTCCCCCATTATAGCTGATCAGTTGATATTTCAGCATTTCCTAGGGGTTTAAAAATAAAGTCTCTTCTGCAATATTACCACCAACTGTCAAAAAAAATGAAAGTTCCTCTTTTGTAAATTTTACAACATTCTAAGCTTGCTAATCATCTACCACATTTACTCATACATCTCATCTACCTTTTGAGCCTTCATTTCCTTAGATATAAAATACAAGGGTAAGAATTCAGAAGATCTTAAAAATTCCAGTTTTGAAGTTTAATAATTCTATAACTCTCTTCTTTCCTACATCCCTTAAGTTATATAGATTTAACCATCAAATGTTGGTAGTCTTCATTGATCATTGAGATTTTTACATCTGTTTACAAGAGAATGATGATACATGCCAAGTTTAACATTATAAGGGGGGGAAGTAATCATAGTTCATTCAAAACTATATTAAATAACTTTCCCTTTAACAACATCTACCATTCCTGAAATACATTGTTTAGACAGAGTTTTCCTATTGTTGTATAAACGCTTAAGAAAGAGAAATGAGAGAATGATTTGGCAATAATTGAAATAAGAGAATTCCCAGGTTTGGAATTTAATGCTTCAGTCCCTTGTCAGCCAGACAAAGAAACAGCAAGCAGGCCTGGAGAACCTTCCCCTGTCCACAGGGGTGAGGATTCACTGAAGCACGAAGGAAACATGGACAATGAGAAAATCAAGAAAGGTGAGAGAAGTTTTCAGTTCGGTCCTCTCCAGGACTTGACAAGCAACTAATTAATGCCTTTAATTTAACTTTTTGTCTGCCAGGGCCAAGAAACAGGACAGTCACCAGATTGTGAACTTCCCGGTTCATCTTTGTAGCTGCCATGGTGCCTGATACTGTGTTTGACCATGGCAGAGAACCAGCAGATATTTGAGAAACAAATGAATCAAAATTATATAGGCATTCATTTACTTGGAACCTTGCAGTCAAACACGTCACACCTCATATTTCTGTCACCCTTGGTCACTGGTCAAGACGTGGGTTCCACAGTGGCACCTCTGCTCTGATCCAGCCACCACTTGGCTTGAGTTTTCCACTGTGCCCTCGGGAACCTTCATCCATGATAACCTGCTACCCACCTCTGTACTGGACCCTTCATTAAACCCTGCTCCTCAAAGCCCATTCTCTCTTTTTCCCTCCTCACAGCTGTTATCTCCCAGCACTCCAGCCCGTGCGTAATTCACACCTGTTCCGCCTCCTCGAAGGTACTTCAAGCTTCTTGACTCTGCTGAGCACCACTGGAGAAAATTACACCAACATACAAACCAGTGCTGCCATAAAATTAAACAACAAAAATACCTGCCAATCACAAAGCCTTCGAATTCTGCCTCCTAAATACTTTGGAATCTGCCCACCCCTCTGGATCCCACTATACTAGCGCAGGCCACCATCCTCTTCTACCTGGATGACGGTATCGATCTCCTAAATGCACCCACTCCCCGTTTCCAGGCTTGCCCCCTCTATAAGCCATTCTCCACAATGCAGCTCGTGTAATTTTTAAAATAAATAAATCCAATGATGTTAACCAGCCTACACACAAAATCCTTCGTTGGCATCTCATTACTCTTAGGATCAAATCCAAACACCTAAACGTGTCTAAATGCTCCTGTGTATACTCCAGACTCCTCTTTCACTACTCTTC